AAGCTTCTTAAATCTAGGCCAGTATCGTCCACATTGATGTCACTAGTTGAACACGTAATGCATTAGTACAGACAGGTTGAAGTAAAATGAATTGGTCGCTGCGTGAGCAAGCTTGAAGGGTCATATAATAGTATCAAATTGAAAGAATTAGTAGAGGGCAGGGATAAGATGCAACAGGAGCACTATGGAGTACTTTGCTGGTTACCTCGTCCTCATACTAGTTACTCCTTTTACAATAAAATAATATTACACGTAAATACAAATATTTTCCCTTTGTTTAACCACACGCTTTTAAAAAATTCACTATTCTAAATTACATTTTTCCCAAAAATTTAATTTTAATGGAGCTTAAAGGAAATGTCTTTCAAAAGCCATTCCACCGAAAGAACAATTTTTTCTTACTTTCTATTCTACTGAAAAGATGAGGAAACTGCAGAGAAAAATAAAGATTGAAAATCAAACGTAATTAATTAATATAGTACAATTTTAAATAGTCATGAATGCTGACAGAAAAGGTAAAAGAAAAGAATCTCCTAAAGTAAAATTAGTTGTGAATGAGCACTTTGGCTATAAGAGATAGAACTTGGGATGTGAAAGAGGTTTGACTTTGAGAGGGAGCATCTCGGCAACAGGACTTGATGTAGATAGCGCCTTGGCCACAAGGCAACTCTTGTCTTTTCTTTATTTTGACTTGGCTGGTTGCCTAATGTCTACACGCAGTGCCTCCATGTGGCTTTTATTGGGAGCTATATATAAGAGGAGAAACAGTGACTTCAATTTTTTGTTTTTATTTTTTTGGTCCATTATATTTTAAGTAATTTGTCGATTTATCAATATGGAAGTAAGAAGATGACATAAAAAACTATACTTAACATTTTTTTACCACAACCTTATGAAAAACTTTATTTAATTGACAGGCGTTTATAATACGATGGAGCAATCAAGTATATTGTTGGCAACAAATAGAAAGTGGGTTGTTGAAGTTGTATTATGGGCCTCACTTGTTATTTTCAAAAATATGTTAACAGAAATGATATTTCCACTTAGATTCATTTTGGCCATTTGAATAGAAATATTATACGGAGAAAGATAAGTTTTTAATCACATGAAGAAAGTGATTGAACCACTTTTCCACTTCTAGAAGTTAATTTATTAAATCAACGCCATGTGGAAAATCAACAATTTCATAACTGTTTTAAATTGTACTATATTAATTATTTACGTTTGATTCTCAATCTTTATTTTGCTGTACACTTTCCTCCTCTTCCTAGTAGAATATAAAGTTAGACAAAAGTATTCTTTCAGTGGAATGGCTTTTGAAAAACATTTCCATTTGGGCTCCATTCAAGTTAATTTTTGGGCAAAAAATATAACTTGGAATAGAGATTTTTGAAAAACGTGTGATTAAAAAAGAATGAAATTTTTTGAATTTAAGTGTAATATTATTCTATTGAAGAATGTATTGTTGAAAAGAAGAGAGAAAAATACATTTTGAATAAAATGGAGCCCAAATAGATGTTAGATTTATTCTGGTCATTTGAAGAGAAATATTTTATGAAGAAATATCATCAAGCTGTTTAATGACATGAAGACAGTGAATTAACCACTTTTTCACTTCTACTAGTTAATTTAAAATTACTTTCATTTGCCAATGCGGGAGCTGGGATTATGAAGACCAAGTCATTGTTGCTTGTTAGGTTAATTATCCTCTATTGATATAATTTTTTTTTTTATGCTTATGATTTATATTCAAGTTACTTTTTCTTTATTAAGTCCAATTGTTAATAATAATTAGAGGTGAAAAGAAATGGGGACGAAAATGTTACTCATAAGTAATCAATAAAACAACCTAAATAATTAGTGGTATCAATTGGGTCAATCCTCATTGAAAGAGATACAAAAGGGCCCACTTGTGGGCATGCGTTGTCCTGAGTTTTGTATAGGTCTAGTCTCAATACATTTTGGATCACATGCCTATCTCAAATTGGGTTGGGACGAGGATTAAGTATTATTTTCGAATTTAGTATATTTTCGCCCCACCTAGCTTCTTAAATATAGGCGAGTATCGTTCACATTGACATCACTAGTCAAACACGCAATGCATTAGTATAGACAGGTTGAAGTTAAACGAATTGGTCGTAGCGGGAGCAAGCTTGAAGAGTCATATAATAGTAACAAATTGAAAGAATCAGTAGAGAGTGGGGATAAGATGTAGCTGGAGCACGATGTAGTACTTTGTTGGTTACCTCGTCCTCATCCTAGTTACTCATTTTTCAATAAAATAATATTACACGTAAATACAAATTTTTTTCCTTTTTTAACCACACACTTTTAAAAAAATCACTATTCTAAATTACATTTTCCCCAAAAATTTAATTTTAATGAAGCTTAAAGGAAATGTCTTTCAAAAGTCATTCCACCAAAAGAACAATTTTTTCTTACTTTCTATTCTGCTGAAAAGACGAGGAAATGCTGGGTGAAATAAAGATTGAGAATCAAACATAATTAATTAATATAGTACAATTTAAAATAGTCATGAATGGCTGACAGAAAAGGGTAAAAGAAAAGAAAAGAATCTACTGAAGTAAAATTGGTTGTACTACAATTATATTACAACTTACAATTTGGTATACAAAAATATGATGGGGTGAGATATAATTGGATCAAAATTTCTTTAGCCAAATAAAAAAAAATATCACTACTTTCCTTTTAACACCTCATCTATCTGTAAAATTTTATGTAACTCTTTATATGTAAGTGGAATTATTCAATTAAAAAAAAAAAGATATGTAAATATTTCTCTGGTGTGCTATTTATATCTTTAATCCAGGATTACAACAAGCTGAAAGAAAACTTGTCATGCAAATGGCTAACTACTTTGTTGGTGCAATTTTGTTGGTGCACTATCTAGTGGCTTGCTTAGCCATGGTGACAACCAATATTACAACTGATCAATTTTCTCTTCTCAGGTTCAAAGCCCACATAAATTTAGATCCTTCACACATTTTATCAAAAAATTGGTCGGTTTCTATTTCTGTTTGTGTCTGGATTGGAGTTACTTGTGGTTTTCACTACCAAAGAGTGACTGCCTTGGATATTTCTAATATGAATCTTACTGGAAAGATACCTTCCCAATTGGGAAATCTACCCTCCCTTGTTTCTATCAACTTAACGAGAAACTATTTTCATGGTAGTGTTCCTCAAGAGCTAATTCAACTCCGACGGTTAAAAATCATGAATAAGATATTGTTTCCATGAGGACAATGTACTTACTCTAGTTATAATTAACATTAACTCTAATTAAATAGTCAATTTGTGAATTGTGATTTTATAACTAATTATCTAACTTTACTGAACTGATGAGCAACAACTAAGCTTTTGTAACATCAATTACAACATGCACTATGATTTTGAATACCATTTTATTAGTCCGTTTTAATGTGGCAGTTTGTTAATCATGTACTTGAAAGATTTAGGATCAGGATGCAATAAAACATACAAAGCTTTGAAAAGTTTGGGGTTGTTGCAGCAACTATTCCTTATTTTATCGAGGGACAGTGTGGTTCAAAATGAATTTGGAAAAAAAAGAGTTTTAAAGAAGCATAAACCTAATTATAGTTGACTTTGATATCTTGGAGAAGGACAAGGCAAATGGAGGACTAACTACTTATAAAAAAATTTCTATATATTTGTAGGATTTAGACCTCCAATCCAGCATTTTGGCTGCAGCAAGAAAAAGCATCATGCAGAAGGCTAATTACTTTCTTCATGCAATTTTGTTGGTACAATGTCTAATGGCTTGCAAAGCCATGGCAACAACAAATATTTCTACTGATCAATCTTCTCTTCTCAACTTCAAAGCCCACATAAATTTAGATCCTTTATACATTTTATCGAAAAATTGGTCGGTTTCTACTTCTGTTTGTGTCTGGATTGGAGTTGCTTGTGGTCTTCGCCACCAAAGAGTGACTGCTTTGGATATTTCTAATATGAATCTCACTGGAAAGATACCTTCCCAATTGGGAAATCTATCCTTCCTTGTTTTTATCAACTTATATGGAAACTATTTTCATGGTAGTATTCCTCAAGAGTTGATTCAACTCCGACGGTTAAAATACATGGACTTGGGTGTCAACAAATTCAGTGGCGAAATCCCGTCATGGTTTCATTTCTTTACTAAATTACGAGTTTTGTATCTTACTAATAACAGTTTTACAGGTTTCATCCCACCTTCTCTCTCTAATATATCCATGCTCCAGTATTTGGATCTCTCTTCCAATCCTCTACAAGGGAAAATCCCGGAAGACATTGGAAATCTTCATAACTTGAAAATACTTGGATTACAAAATAACAGTCTCACTGGTGTAATACCATTGCAGATTTTTAACATATCGACAATGGAAATTCTTGCTCTTACAGGGAATAACTTAACGGGTAATCTCCCTCTTCACATATGCCATGGCCTCCCAAGACTCCAAGGGCTTCATCTATCGCTAAATGAATTGGGTGGTGAAATTCCATCCAATCTATCAGAATGTTTACAACTTGAGACCCTTTCTTTGTCTTTCAACAAATTTAGTGGATCCATTCCCGGAGAAATTGGGAGAATAAGGACGCTTCAAATTTTGAATCTTGGTTCAAATGATTTGTCCGGTAAATGAACCATGATTGATATCTACATTCACAGAATTATTGATGTTATTCAGATCAACATTTTTGTAATTGTAGTCTCTCGTTCTGATTTAACAATTGACAGGTGCAATTCCACGTGAGTTGGGTAACCTGGAGAACCTCAAGGGATTGGGCATGGGATATAATTTTCTTAATGGCTCTATACCAGCCAGTATCTTCAACATTTCATCATTGCAATATGTTGAGATTCAAGAATGCAACCTATCTGGTAACATTTAGCCCCTGTTTGATTGCTATTATTTGAAAACCTTTTTTCTCCTTACTCATTTTCAACCACGCATTCACACAATAAGATATTCTGCACTTAAACCTAAAATTTTTCCCTTTTTTAACCATACATTCTTCCACAAATTATTATTCAAAACATTTTCCCCCAAAATGACCTTAATTAAATTAATAGTTGTTTTACACTTGTCCTTTGTATTTTTATACAGAAATTTAAAAAATACTGTTTATTTTTAAAGTTTGAGCACTTTATAATTTTCTTTTAAAGTTTGAGAACTTCGTAATTTTTTAGATGTAATCCCACAGGAGATTGGCAATCTCTACCACTTAGTGCATCTTCATTTGGACAATAATAACTTATATAGTTTCATGCCCCCAAGAATCTTCAACGTCTCAACATTATTAGTAATTTCAGTTTCAATTAATCAACTTTCAGGCAAGCTTCCAAATTCTATTGCAAATTCTTCTAAACTCACTACAATATTCCTGCGTCAGAACAACTTTAATGGACCAATTCCAAACTTCCTCGGGAATTTGCGCTTCATTGAAAGGTTAGTCTTGTCAGAAAACAATTTCATCAGTGAATCTCCAGAATTGAACTTCATTACTTCGTTGACAAACTGTAGATATTTAAAATTATTGTCTTTTTCCAACAATCCTTTGAATGGCATTCTTCCATTATCAATTGGAAATTTGTCAACTTCTCTTCAACATCTTCATGGTTATGGTTGTGATCTCAGAGGTAGCATTCCAAATAAAATTGGCAATCTCACCAGTTTGATCGATTTAAAACTATTTGACAATGAGTTGACAGAATCAATTCCAACAAGCGTGGTGAATTTGCAAAAGCTTCAAGGATTATATCTTTCTTACAATAACATAAGTGGATCTATCCCGGACTCTTTCTGTGAACTTCAAAATTTATATCAATTGGTGTTGTCACAAAATCAAATATCTGGTGCTATTCCAAGGTGCATAGGGAATATTACTACACTAAGGTATCTAGATATCGATTCCAACATATTGACTTCCACCATACCTGCAAGCCTATGGCTACTGAAAGATCTTCTGAAGTTGAATCTATCTACAAATATCTTGAGCGGCTCTCTACCTCAAGAAATTGGGAACCTGGAGTTTGCATTTCTTATCGATCTATCAGTCAATCGATTGTCATGTACTATTCCAAACACAATTGGAGATTTACAGACCTTGAGCAATCTTTCTTTAGCACATAATGCACTGCAAGGATCTATTCCAGAGTCAGTGGGTAAGATGCTGAACTTGGAGCAACTCGATCTATCTCACAACAATCTTTCTAGTAATATCCCCAAGTCCATGGAGGAACTCAAGTATCTCACGTACTTGGATGTTTCTTTCAATGATTTAAGTGGTGAAGTTCCTTTTGGTGGTCCTTTCAAAAACTTTTCAAGTAAATCCTTCATGTCTAATGAGGGATTATGTGGTGATCATATATATGGTCTCCCATCATGTCCTACTGGTAGACAACAGAAAACAAAACCGATGCTTGCAATTGCATTTTCTTTGTTGGGGATTACAGTACTAATTTTGGTTGTCACGGCCTTGGCATATGCAACTGGAAGATACCGAAGGAAAAATTTGGTTGAAAATAGAGTAGACTTTGCACCTGGTACATCTATAAGAGTCTCATATTATGAACTTTTGCAAGCAACTGAAGGGTATAGTGAGAGCCATTTGCTTGGGACTGGGAGTTTAGGCTCCGTCTACAGAGGGACTCTCAATAATGGAATGGACATCGCAGTGAAGGTTTTCAATTTGCAGCAACAAAATGCATTTAAGAGTTTTGATGTAGAATGTGAAGTATTACGCAACCTTCGCCATAGGAATTTGTGCAAGGTCATTAGTACTTGCTCCAATCTAGATTTCAAGGCTTTGGTGCTTGAGTACATGCCTAATGGAAACCTTGAGAAGTGGTTGTATTCAGATGACTACATGTTGAATATCTTGCAGAGAATTAGCATAATGGTTGATGTAGCATATGCATTGGAATATCTGCACTATGGCTACTCTACGCCTGTTGTTCACTGTGATTTGAAGCCAAGTAATGTTCTGCTAGATGAAGATATGGTTGCCCACTTAAGTGATTTTGGCATTGCTAAGTTATTGGGTGAAGGAGAAAACAATGCATACACTACTACCCTAGGAACATTGGGTTACATTGCACCTGGTAAACCTCCTATCTTTTACTCCAATCTTTTCTCTCGAGCATTTAGTCTACCAGGTTAGAGCAAATAAGGGTAGTTTAGATTGTTAATATTCGTATTCAATGTTAGTAAAAATAGAAACATAGTAATGCTTTATAAATATACAACATACAACCATACATAATGCAACCTATATATATTTCTAATACAGTGTAACGACAACGTAATGCGACTAACGAATTTTATAATGTTTTATATAGAGTATGGATTGGAAGGATTGGTGTCAATAAAATGTGATGTTTATAGCTATGGCATTATGTTAATGGAAGTATTTACAAGAATGACACCAAGCAATGAAAAGTTCTCAGGAGATTTAAACCTAAGGAGCTGGATAAATGATTCTATGCGTAATCCAATTACTCAGATTATAGATTCAAACTTGTTGGGGCCAGAAGAGCACGACACAAAGAAGTTGAGATGTTTGTCATCTATAATGGAACTTGCTTTAAATTGCTCCGTGGAGAGTGTCAGTGAGAGGGTGGACATGAAAGAAGTTGTAACAACATTGAAAAATATCAAATTTCAGCTCCTCGCTTAAGAGTGGTTTTAAATTTAATGTTCTCTATGTGTTATATGATGATTCAGTGATTCTGTGGAGATTATATATTTTATCTGTAAAGTTATATAACATGCAATTAAAGCTAGTTCAAATTTTCTTAGTTTACAAGTTGAATTCTCTAGATGTCTTGACTGCTTTCTAGAAGACTCTGAAAATTATATATTTTGTTTGTAAATATTTTTGCTTTCTAAAGTTCATATATATATATTCTTAAAATTCATTTAAACCAAAATTAGGAAAGGTTGAATTCAAGTGGGCCAATTATATGATTTTTTGTATTTTTTTTTTTTTGTAAAATTGGTTTACATTTCAATAATATAGATTTCTTAATGAAAGGGCTCGTGCTTCAAAATTTTAAGAGTTTTGAACACAACTGGAAATGATAAGGAGAGAAGAATTAAATCTGTGAGTCAGCGCTGAAGGGGAGAATTGAAATCGAATTAATAGTTAAAAACCCTGTACATACTTGTTGATGTGCAATATACCCTTACCTATTGAAAATTTAAAAAAAAAAAAAAAAGGCTTCCCTATTTGAAAATTTAAGAGTGTTTGATTAACATGAAAAATATCACCTATAAAAGAAAATGTTTTCCTTCTTTTGTGGAAAATAAAAACCATCTCCAGAAAAATTAGACATATTTTCAAATATTAGAAAATGTTTTCCATCGAAATAATTAGCAATCAAACACCTGAAATAGGAATTTGGATGGAAAACTGATCTTTTCCATGGAAAATAAATGTAATCAAACACACCTTAAGTGCAGAATACAACCTTTTCGTTGCAAAAAATCTCCTTGCATGAACTTTGAAGTGCGATTCACCTCCTACCGTCTAATTCCGTTAGTTAGCCGTTAAAAACAATAGAATTTGACAAATTTGAAAGAAATAATTGCAATTGTGTTCCAAAACTTTTTATATTTTTTACGAATTATACACAAAAAATTTTATATGTGCCAACCACAATCGCAAACTTTTAAAATTTAATTTTCTCCCCCAAAAGACAATTGTACATTCCTTGATGGTCATCAAAATGATACAGAGAAATCAATGGTTCCTCGAAACAAACATAATACCAACTTTTCCATTTTCAGAAAGAAAATTATCAATTTTTTTTCCTTTCCAGGTTACTGATTAGTGAAAGTGTTATATCCTAGGTCCAATCAACCTTGGACATAAATACTTTTAATATATAATTAAATACAATTTAATGTCAGATCTATTATTTAATTAATAGACAATTAAATTACTATTTAATTAATGGACAATTAAATTAAATAATAGAGTCCGTAGATTCAAATCTTCATAATTTGTTAATCACAAGGAGTTGTGATTATGAGATACAAATTACACATGATTGAATCTTAAATCGTCCGTGGTTGTAAGTAATAATGAGATATGGATATCATTATTACGGATAGACCATCACATGTGACATTTCTTACTTGTGAAGTAAATAGCTGATCTCACAAGCTAAAGTATGGTGACACTTAAATGAACACGTGGGTGTTTTGTTATAGAACAAAACATTGGAGACCCATCTAGAGATTCCACATGGATAACTATTTGAGTGTCAGTGGTTAATCTCTAACGTTCGGTAGTAGAATTGGTCTTTCGACTTGAGGTCGTCATAGTAGTCATGCTTTGACGGTGTTGGATGTTGCTCTGTCAAGGGCTGCTAATACAGCATCGTTCGGGTATGTCAAGAATCGTATGAAGTTTGTGAAGGACCAAGAGAGGATTCGTCACTCTTAGATAGTAAGAGATTATGATATGTATTTCATTCAATTAAGTTGATAACGAAATCATTGACCAAGATGTACTCATAAGTTGAAAAGGAGTTTTCGACTTATATTGACTTAATAGTGGAGTGAAAGATATGATCGATAATCGAGATTTACACACTTCCATATCTCGTAATTGATCAGATCATATCGACGAAGGGATTATAGTTTCACGGTAAACGAACGAGTTTGATTTTGTCATACCACGTAACATTTTCCATCACATGTATTGCTTTGACACATTGTTAGATGTCAATCTAAGACGGCGAGTGTGAATTTGTGATAAACTAAAAGGGTATTTTAATTTATCAATTTTGATTTGATCAAAATAATATTTCATGTCGTTAAGCATCGTGATCGGGAATCTGATGAGTTGCATACAAAAGAGAATTGGAAGATTGCAATTTGTCAATTAATTAATTTAACAATCGTTGGATAAATTAATTAATTGGGTTGGTTATTTATAGGCCCCAATTAATTAATTGGATTAATTAATTTATGGACCGGATTTAATTAAATGGATTAATTAAATACTGGATCGGATCAGGCCAAGCCCATTTGGGCTTTTATAAATAACTGATTGGGGTTTATAATTTTGTAGAGAATTCATTATTCTTACTAGCACAAGAAGAAAACTCTAATCCTGCAATCTTATTCTCTGTGTGGATTGTCGTTGGTGGCTGGACAATTGGACAGCTGTGGGAGACAGATCTAAGTTGCTGGAAAAAAGATATAGCAAAAGAGTTTGCAAATCTTGTAAAAGGTACAACTTTATCATAGTTTCTATCTAAACACAAACAGATTCCTAGTGGAAATTGAAAATTATTTTATTTTTTCGCTGCGCATGATAAGTAGATTCCCAACAATTAGAATACACATTCCGATTAATTTGAAACTACAAACTTGAGGTATAAACACGATAACTAAGTACTAAACCAAAGCACCTGTATTTCTAATTGTAGAGATCAATTTTGCTCTAAATCCCTTGTTTTTACTCGACAGAGAAATTTTTTTTTTCTTTCCACCAAACCATAAACGGAAAGTGGGAAAATAAATAAATAAAAATAAAGCAAACAGAATACAAGGAAGATTTCATTATGTGCAAAATGTCACCTATGCCTTCTCCGCCGACAATGCCACCACCATGACCGGTCTACCACCAAATCTAGAACCAAAATTAATTATCACCATTGGTTCTCAACTCGAGTTTTTGCTTTTTCATTCTTTTTTAATTTCCTATTTTTCTGCTACTGTGTGGAAGTGAGGGAGAGAGAGAATCAGGGGTTGATATGTAGAGAAATGAAGAGAAAAAAAATTGATTTCTATAATGTAAAGCCCACGTGGAATAAGGGCATTTACCAAGAAATGCAATGAAATTTTTTTGTGGAAATTACAGATTCTAATAGATTAAAAATCTTCATTTCATAAATAAGATGCCATGTTTAATATTTCACAGAATCAGAATTTTTTTAATTAATTAATATATTAAAAATTAATTAAATAAACAATTTCAAACCTAATTATCTCAAACCTAAATAAACAATTTCACAAATCTCAATTCACTTTCCCTCTCTCAATTTCCCCCTCTCTCTCTGTCCAAAATCCCGCTGTCGCCAGACAAGCGGTCATCGGAAGATCACGCTCGATCAGTACCGGAAACCATGGCAGATGGTGGTCGTGGAGATCTTGGTGGTGGCAGCAACTCGAAGAAATCAACTGCGATTTGGTATTTGCGCCGCCAAATCTTACGCCCCTATTCCGGTAATTATTTATCGGTGAACTCAGTCCCAACACCTCCGACAGTGGATGCGATTCCCCTACTATTTTTTTGCACGGCGACAACGTCGATCGACGCCTGCTGATGGAAGTGTAGCCTTCGAAGGAGTTCTGTCAGTGCTGCAAGTTGTTGTGGTGGTGATGTGGTATAGGATTTGGTTGTTGACGGTATTGAAGTGGTAGTGCTTGTAGTGAAGAGAGTTGTTTTGTTGTGGATCTAATTTGATGAGGTTTTTGTGCAACTATGGCGATAATTTTTTGGATCTTTTTGGTGGTGGTGATTTTGTTGTGGTGGCGAGGTGGTGGCACCGTTGATAGTCCGGTTAGATATTGGCAATGTTGGTGGCACAGCGACTGCTGCGAACTCTGGTGATAAGGCAGTGGTGCAAAGGTGAGTGCGGTGGTCGTGGCAGTGGTTGTGGTGGTCCCGATGGTTTGGTTGATTTTGTGACAAATAATTGGACCCGTGACCTGAAATTTGTGGTTGTGACTCCCAATTGTAACTCACAATTTGTGAGTCACGGTTGGTCGTGGCGGTGGTTGTGATGGTCATGGCAATAGTCGTGGCGATTTGGTTGATTTGTGACTTATAATTGGATACGTGATCTAAAAATTGTGACTGTGACTCAGAATTGAATATGTGACCTGAAAATTGTAACCATGAATCGTAAGTGTTGGTGGTGGTCACAAATTATTTGGTTGACTATGACCATTAAATTGGTTAATTTGTGATCAAGAAATAATAGGTGACCAATGGAAAAGATAAATTGTGATCGAAAAATAATGTGTCACCAAAAAAATTGTTAATATGTGACCGATAATTTGATAATTTGTGACTGTGTAATAAGTTGTGACTTGTAATATTTGTGATTTATGACTAATAAATAAATCGTGTCTTATAAATTTTTCGATTTGTGACCGATGAACAAATTGTGACCTATAAATTTTTTGAATTTTGATCGTAAAATAATTTTTGATATAAAATTTCGAATTTGTGACCAAAAAAATAATAAGTAACGAATTAAATCGTTAATTTGTGATCAAATTATATAAATCTGTGACTCCAATATATTTAATTACTAAAATAATTAATTAATTAATCAAATGATAAATAATTTTTAATAAAAATCTGATTTTTGAAATTTGAAACTTGTTTTCTTGTTTTTGAAATGTGCCATACTTAATCTCTTACTTATGAAATTTTCCCAATTTTTTTTGGGAATGGATAAATCCATATGTACATAATAACTTCTTACACAATGTTGTCAGAATAGTCTCATGACGTGGGGCCCATCATGATTTTTTTTTTTTTGCAGAAAATACCCTACCTACCCCCCTATGAGTGCATTCTGGTAGCATTCTGTGAAAACTTCTTCTGTACATCAAGCATGGCTCTTTGGGAATTGATGTGAGATTTAAATCCCAGTGATGTGAAATTTGGGGGTGGGTGGGGATTTTTGTATTTTTAATTAATTTATTTTTGGGGAATAATATAAAATTACCATTTTATCGTTTAAAATTGGAAAATAAAATTTTA